ACACATACATACACACGTACAGATAGACATTTATACACATACATGTATACACATACATACACACGTACAGATAGACATTTATACACATACATGTATACACATACATACACATGTACAGATAGACATTTATACACATACACACACACGTACAGATAGACATTTATACACATACATGTATACACACACATACACACGTACAGATAGACATTTATACACACACATACACACGTACAGATAGACATTTATACACATACATGTATACACACACATACACACGTACAGATACATTTATACACACACAATACACACGTACAGATAGACATTTATACACACACACACATACACACGGACAGATAGACATTTATACACACACATACACACGTACAGATACATACATTTATACACATACATGTATACACATACACACGTACAGATAGACATTTATACACACATACACATATGCATATGCATACATTATACACATACATGCACACGTACAGAAACATACATTTATGCACATACATACACACATACAGATAGACATGTATACACATACATACACACGTACAGATAGACATTTATACACATACATGTATACACATACATACATACAGATACATACACACATAGTACAGATAGACATTTATACACATACACACACACGTACAGATACACATTTATACATACACACACATACATACAGATAGACATTTATACACACATACACACGTACAGATAGACATTTATACACATACACACACACATACACACGTACAGATACATTTATACACATACATATACACACACATACACACGTACAGATAGACATTTTATACACACACATACACACGTACAGATAGACATTTATACACATACATGTATACACACATACACACACAGATAGACATTTATACACACACATTGACATACACATACAACACACGTTACAGATAGACATTTTATACACATACACACACACATACACACGGACAGATAGACATTTATACACACACATACACACGTACAGATAGACATTTATACACATACACACACACGTACAGATAGACATTTATACACATACACACACATACACACGTACAGTAGACATTTATACACACACATACACACGTACAGATAGACATTTATACACATACATGTATACACACACATACACACGTACAGATAGACATTTATACACACACATACACACGTACAGATAGACATTTATACACATACATGTATACACA